GTGAGTAACCCCTAAAAATTTCACATTTTCTTTATTCCATTTTCTATGAAGTCTTTAGAAAACTGGTTGCTGTGTTTGGGGAGGGGGAACTGTTTTAAAATATGGATAAAAAAAGGGGAAATGTATATGCTGACTAAGGGAAAGAGCATTGTATATCATTACAGGTCTACAAACGGAGGAAGCTACGGTGATGCAATTCAGATTCAGGCATTACAGAAAGACTTGTTAATACTCGTTTGCAATTATAAGCAGCGTGCATGCCAAATTGGGAATACATATTATACATGATGAAACAGACGGATTTCCAATGAGAGAGAGAAAAAAAAAGAAAGACAGATACGAGAGAGAGAGAGAGTGAGAGAGAGAAGAGAGAAGAGAAGAGAAAGAGGAAAGTGAGAGAGAGATGAAATGAAATGATGATGAAATGGGCGGATTTTCTGTAAAAGAGAGAGAGAAAAAAGACGGAAAAAATTGTTGTCGTTGCAGATTAAATTCCGAAGCATTATTTCGACCATTGCAACCCTTTTTATTTATTTATTTTTTTATTCCAAGAGAGAAATTGCGTCTGACTCGAGTAGCGTTGACATTTTTGCATCTACAGAAATTGAATCAGATGCGACAACGCCCCTGCAGCGTCCGTGGCCCTTGCAACTTTTTTTATTAATGTCTTTTTTTAAAGTTTCATTGTTATTGATACTTATTAATTCAGCTTCCTTTCTGAAAATACGTCAGACATGCGATTTTTCTTCTTTTTTTATTTATTTATTTTTTTTTCAAGCTCCATTGTTATAGATATTTATTCACTTTCCTTGCTGAAAATACGTCAGACTTACAAATTTTTCTTTCTTTCTTTTCATCTTTTGTATATTTTTTTGAAGTTCCTTTGTTATTGCTCTTTATTAATTCACTTTCCTCGCTCGTGGTTCCTGCTCTCGACGGAATAGGGGGAAAGGGGTCTTCCGGTCGCTCCTTATATGGCAGCGGGGTCGGTGACGTCACTGCGTTTCGAGACGTCATGGAATAGGGGTTGATTTTCTCTCTCTCTATTTTATTTATTTATTATTTTATTATTATTATTTATATTATTATATTATTATTATGACATTGCGTCGCGAAGTAGGGTTTATTTTATTTATTTATTTATTTATTTTTTTTTTACTTTTGCTTTCTTTTCACTCGTCGTCTTCGCCTTTGTTATCATTACCTTACTTTCTTCTTTGTCTCCTCCTCCTTGTTTTTTTTCTTTTCCCTCCCGTTGTATTTCTCCTTTGCCCATTTCCTCGTTCCTTCGTTTCTCTTTCTTCTTTCTTAGTTTCCTTTCCTTCTCAGGGAAGTGAAAGGAGGAGGAAAAGGGAAGGAAGGAAGGAAAGGAAAGAGGACGGAAGGAAAGGAAGGAAGGAAGGAAGGGAGGGAGGGAGGGAGGGAGGGAGGGAGGGAGGGAGGGAGGGGAAGGGGAAGGAAAAGGAAAGAAGGAAAGGAAAGGAAAAGGGAAGGAGGGAGGGCAGGGAAATAAAAAGAAGAGGCAGAAAAGGGAAGGAGCGACAGGGGAATGAAACAGGGGGAACAGAATCTAGAATAAAAACAATTAGAGGGGAACAGGAACGCATAGAGCAAGACAAAATAATTCGGCTCCATCTCTCTTTTATTTTGTTGATTCATTTATTTATCTGCCCCTCTCGCTCCTGTCGCTCACAGCCTCTCTCTCTCTCTTTCCTTCTTTCTCTGTCTTTCTGCGTGAACATTTTTTTGTTCTCTCTCCCTCCCTCCCCTCCTCTCCTCTCTCTCTCTCTCTCTCTCTCTCTCTCTCTCTCTCTCTCTCTCTTTCTCTCTCTCTCTTCTCTCTCTCTCTCTCTCTCTCTCTCTCTCTCTCTCTCTCTCTCTCTCTCTCTCTCTCTCTCTCCTCTCTCTCCTCTCTTTCTCTCCTCCCCCTCCCTCCCTCCTTCCCCCCTCCTCCTGCCTTGCTCCCTCTTCCTCTCTCCCTCCCTCTTTCTATCTCCTTCTCCCTTTCTCCCCCTTTCTCTCCCTATCCCTCTCTCCTTCTCCCCCCCTCCCTCTCTTTCTAAAAAAGAAAACCAAATAAAAAGGAACTGGAAACAGCTAAAAATGTAATCATAACTGGAGTCATGATATTCGCTTAGAGAGCAGAGGTAACGAGGAAAAGTTGCATAACAGAGACGAGGAGGACAAGGAGGAGTAGGAGGAGAGGGGGAGAATTGGAAATGGGGAGACTAGAAGAGGAACTGGAGGTGACTCTCTCTCTCTCTGTCTGTCTGTCTGTCTCTGTCTCTCTCTCTCTCTCTCTCTCTCTCTCTCTCTCTCTCTCTCTCTCTCTCTTCTCTCTCTCCTCTCCTCTCCTCTCTCTCTCTCTCTCTCTCTCTTTCTTCCTTTCTATAATATATGTGTGAGAGAGAGAGGAGTGAGAGAGAAGAGAGAGAGAAGAGAGAGAGAGAGAGAGAGAGAGAGAGAGAGAGAGAGAGAGAGAGAGAGAGAGAGAGAGAGAGAGAGAGCATTAGCCCACATACAACACACAGACAAATAAATTTCTCTGTGGGTGCGTCTCCTTGAACCCAAAGCGAAACACTGGAGCGAGAGACAGAGAGAGAGAGAGAGAGGCCGCCAGCCTAAATATCATGCGCTGAAAATGCAGTTTAAGTGAAGGAAACTTATGCCTCTGAATATTAATAGGACTCTCAACTCCCATGGTGCTGTTCATGTTATTCTTTTTTTCTCTTTCTTTCTTTTCTGGAAATTATGAATCTTACACTTGCGCCTCGCTCGTAAATCGGGAGTATGAATGGCCCTTACGATGAATGGGGTTGTTGTGGTAATTAGAAATCTTGGTTTACCCTGATTGGCTATTGTTGGGAATGATGGGCGGGGTCAGGAGAGCGAGAAATTGCTGTGATTGGCCGAGCGGGTTGGCATGGGAGGGGCTTATCTTGGGGCTATTTTGGATACAGGTGATCGTGTGTAAGTCCGTTGAGTTCGTGGGACATTTTGGCATTTACGATAATATGTCCTTTGTCCTAATTCAGTTTGTGGTCTCTGGGGGAAGGGAGAGGAGAGAGGAAAAGTTAAATTTCTTTCCTGTCAATTGGGTCTGTTTCCCCGAGTTCAAATGGGACAATATACGACTACTAATGATGCTGATTATGATAGTAATGGCAATGATAAAATTGATATCAGAATAAGACTTGGTAGCACTAACAAAATTGGTAATGCCCCCCCCCCACAAAAAAAAAATCAGAATAACGCCTGGTGGCGCTAACGAAAAATTAGTGGACCCCCCCCAAAAAAAAAAAAAAAAAAAAAAAAAATATATATATATATATATATATATATATTATATATAGATAGATAGATAAGAGCAACCTTGTATCACTAATTAAAAAAAAATAGTGATGTTCAAAAAAAAAAAAAAAGTTGCATAGAGCCCAGACTAGCTCACTAGCCTGTCCCCCGCCCCCGCCCCCCCCCCCCGGCCTCAGCTGGGAAATATTCAAACCTAATGAACCTCCTTGGCTTGTTTGCTCTCGGGGATTTTTCTCTGTGCGTCGCGATCGCCCTCGGCTAATCCTCTTAACGCTCTTGTCCTCTTCCTCTTCCCTGCTCCTCTTGTTCCTGTCGTTCGTATTCGTCTTTATTTGTAAAGGTTTATGTACGCCCGCGAGTGTGTGTTGGGGATTAGAGGTGGGCGCGCAGGTACAGCACTCGCTTACTCGCTCTAATTCTCACTCTCATTCTCACTCTCACTTACACTCTCATTCTCACGCTCAGACTCTCTCTCTCTCTCTCTCTCTCTCTCTCTCTCTCTCTCTCTCTCTCTCTCTCTCTCTCCTCTCTCTCTCTCTCTCTCTCTCTCTCTCTCTCTCACACACACACACAACACACACCGCGCGCGCACAAACAACTAGCCTCACACATCGAGCACTTTATCCCGCGTCTCCCCCCCCCCTCCCACCGACTTAAAAACACAAGGGGGAAGTCAACAGGGTTAAAGGGGGGAGGGGGTGCGTGGGTGAAGGCACGAGGGTTGGTTTTGTAGGGAAAGAGGTTCTGTCTTGACCCATAATCCATACCGGCGGTTGTTGGAGGTTGTTGGAGGAAGGGTAGGAGGGGTTTTTTGTTGGAGGAAAGGTAACTGGATTTTTTATTTATTTATTTATTTACTTATTTATTATTTTTTAATTTTATTTATTTATTATTATTATTTTTGTTTTGAAGAGGGCCAGTGAGAAATTTTGTGGAGAGAAAGGGCAGTGGGATTTTTTGCTGGGGAAGAGTAGTCAGATTTTTTGTTGGAGGAAGGCTGTTGGGATTTTTTGTTGGAGGAAGTACAGTGGGATTTTTTTGTTGGAGAAAGGGCACTGGATTTTTTTTTTTTTTTTTTTTTTTTTTTTTTTTTTTTTTTTTTTTTATTATAGGGGGAGGGCAGCTGATATTTTTGTTGGAGGAAGGGCAGTTCTATTTTTGTAGCAGGAAGGGCAGCTGGATTTTTTGTTGGAGGAAAGACGGAAGGAATTTTTGTTGGAGGAAGGGCAGCGGTATTCTTTTATGGGAGGAAAAACAACGTCGATTTCTGAAGGAAGGGAAAAGTACAGATACACAAAAAGAAGGCAGTGTCAGGGGGGAGGGGGAGAGAGATAAGGAAAGATAGGGGAGTGTGTGGGTTAGGGCTACGGAGGGAGAAGGAGGGAGATTGATTGTGGAATAGAGGAGGGAGGGAGGGGAAAGAGAGAGGGAGGAAGGAGAGAGAGGAGGGAAGGGGTGGAGAGGGGAAGGGAGAGGGAGAAGGAGAAAGAAAGGAGAAGAGGGAGAGGGGAAGGAAGACGGAGAAGGAGAAAGAAAGAGGAAGGGGGAGAGGGAGAGGGAGAGAGAAGGAGAGAGAGAGGGGGGAGGGAGGAAGAGGGAGAAGGAGAAAGAAAGAGGGAGGGAAAGTATAGTGTGATGCTAACCGCAATATCCGAGGCAGTGAATGAGAAGGGGCCTTTCCCTTCCCC